TATAATCACCTCACGTAGAATATATAAATTAATACATTCAAATCATCCAAAACCTATAAACTCAACAGATATTCCAGGATTCGACTTAGATAAATATAAATCTAGAATTTCACAGAAAAGTTGTGAATTATTTGATGAATCAGATTATAATTCATATGAGAAAACTACTGAAAACATTAATAAGTGTCGAGAAGCCAAGCCTTGTTATGGGAATGATATCACTGAAATCATTGGAGACAGGGTGTAGTTGTTATTAACATCAGGCATTTGGCATCAATGAAGGGTCATGAAATTGGTGTTGAAAAGGATAAATCCATGGGAGAGGTAGTTCTGACGGTAGTATAAAAGTAAATAGCCTGTGTAATATCAAAATGTATTTAAAGACCTGTTAGTTGCTTGAATAAAGTTTCTTCAAACTTCGATCTCCCTGATATTTGAATAAATGGTTTTATATTGAATTCTCCCTTGTATTATTGTATTATCATGAATACATCTTCACAGTATTGTTAGTGTAATAAATCTTTGGTATCCCTATTGTGAAGACACCTTCACGATTCTATTTATTTATTTATTATCTCTTATAATTATTACATGACAGGGTGAAACCCGCATTGCTAGCTAGTAAAATCCGCTATGATCATCACGCGGGGGTGAAATCCGCTTTTATATAATAAAAAACATAAACAACCGCGGATTTCACCTTAACCTGATCTACATAGCGGATTTTACTAGATAGCAACGCGGGTTTCACCCTGTTCTATTATTACAACAATAATTACGTCACAGACTTTCGCAGGCATTGATGTCTGTGAGATTAGATAATCAATACATAAACTTCTAAACAATCACCTATTGTTGTCCCTATCTTATATTATTTTATCTTACGTTCACTATCGCTGACCTAAACTCGGCCGCTCTCCCGAAACCCGATAGTAACACCGGAAATCAGAAAATGCCAATCTATGATTGGCTAATAATTATTAGAATTATTTTTTGACCAGATTGCAGATTCCTGATTTCCGGTGTGATACGTGGAATTTACTGGTCACAGTAATTTGAAAAGCGCTGTAATTCGGATTGGTTGAGCATGCTTAGGTATTAACGAACGTTACGTAATCTATTGCGCAAATAGATGCACTCGATGAGATTCACGGGTCCAGTCTCTGCTAAAACATGGAATATATTTTTCTGTATAGTGTTGACACCAGACCTACCGAATAATTAATTGTGGGGGCAATTAATCGCAATTAAATAATTAATTGGCGGCGCGCCGCAAATAATTACAATTTTATACCGCTGATCTTGGCGTAGCTTAAAAAATAGCTTAACAATAAGTAATTACGCAAATAAATCATGCACTCAAGTAATTTCTTTCTTGGGATAAACTTTAGTACAGGTGAGCAAATAGAATAATTATATAAATATTATATATAAAACTAAATAGTTTAAGCTAATATATAATAAATTTTATTTAATTTTATTTATAAACAATTTTATAGGTATAAATTAGTTAATTTTTATGATAACAATTTTAATCAATTGTAATTGTATAATAATTGGGTTGCAATTAATTTTCAGTCCTCTGGTTGGTACACCGAACATATGTTTTAAATAAATTATTTCTTGAGAATATGTTATCAGCCTGTTATATTTACAGCAATTATTATA